AGGGCCCCCAGGGGGTCTAGAAACACCCCTGCCGCTAATGTAAGCTGTTGCCAGATAAAATCCCCTCTTTTCCTCAGGTTGCCAGCAGGTTTTAGTAGTTTTGAAACCCTGCCATTCAGGTGAGACAGTTGTCTGTTCTCCGCTGATGATGTGAAGGCACAGACTGGCGGTGTACCTGCGATGAGGGCGGGCTGCTGGGGGTGGCAGCACAGGGCAGTGACTGCAGTGGGAACATCTACGACCAGATCAGCTTGTTTGGGGTTCAGGCCTCGGCGGTCCAGGTTCCACGTACAGACGCAAGACCTCTCGGTGCTCCAGTCTCCATCGTCAATCCTGCCCACGGGAAACACACACATCTGAACCATGCCACAACAGGACAGGAAACACTTTTCTGTTGATTTCTTCAGTTATTTTATATATCAGGTGAAGCACTAACATACCGACCGTAGGCACAGGCAATAACTGAACCTGTACAACTCCAGGACACACTGGTTACATGAAGACCCCTTTCTACAGCGCTGGGATGTTGAAGGCAATGGAGGCATGAAACCTGCAAACATGGAACTGTGTCACACAAAGAACTCTCCACGAAGAGCTGCTCCAAAATATTCAAACATCCAGTCATCGGGGACAACTACAAACTTTCAGATTCCCCTCTGGCTTATAAAGCTGTCCATCATTGGTCCTCCTCACCAGATTACTGTGGTCTTCCCAGTTCACCTGGAACCCATCGAAGGCGTGACTCCTGGTATTTCTGACCAGCTCCCTGACGACCACGTCCTCAACCCTCTGCAGGAAGTCCTTCAGGCCTGGTGGCTCCGGCTCCTCATGGTTTTGTTGGAAGAGCTGCTCTGTCGCCTGGTACAGTGGGTCCGTCTGCGTGCTGCTGATGGTAGTCGACACAGTCTGGACCTCTGCCTCAGCACTGTGCACAGCTTTGGTCTGGCAGCCTCTCTGAAATACCAGCAAATAGGCCCTTCTACTACTAATCATACTGTCAGCCAATCACAGTTTAGAGTTACACTATTAACCAGATGTTTGGCCACGTGGGGCAGAAATAGAAAACTTCTTCATAGTGAAGAATTTAACTTAACTACAACCCCTACGGATATTACGTTCCATTTCTTTCTATTGGTTTTCCTAAATGTTACACAGTGGACCTTTAAACGGTCTAAAAAGGGAGTTTCAGGTGAATGCTTCAACTGTAGTAACGTTGTTTGCATTATCCGTGAACATGTTATTAATAAGTATTAATGTAAGTCATATTGGCATTAGTCTAAAGCTACCTGTTGTTCTCTTGGGGAAAGAAATGTCAGCTAGCCAACTACTGCTACATTAAGAACAATGCTGTTACAGGAGATCGTTAAGTAACGCACACATTGGGATTAATGCTAACGGAGCTTCAGTTTGCATTGTTGCTGAAACTTACCGAGTCCTGCGCCGACTGCTGAGAGTTCCTCCACAGAGACTTAATACTCACTGAGTCCAGAGCTTCGTCTGTAAACATGCTAATAAAAGTGCTTTGCTGAGGCTAAAGAACGTCTGAATCATTAACATTCAACGTCTTAATTAGCGTTAACTGCATTCACACGGGTTTGACAGCTTGCTCCATCAGTGAGCTAGCTGTTGTGCTAGCATTGACTGTAGCCATTGTTCACCAAGCTAACGTTACCTTGGTTACGGAGAGACTGTGCACAGGCGAGAGAGAAATCCCGTCTTCACTTCCGCTTTTTCTCCAGGATAAACATCCTAGCTTTTCTTTCCGTAGTGTGTCGACGTGGACCCTTTAATCTATTATATTTAACATTAAACAAAAATAACAAAGTTAACATCGCCTGGTTATGTTTCCACCATATGTTACACTATAGTTAATGATATACCTTAGTAATGTCAATAAAATGTATTGTGGACGCATCATCACTTCCTGTAAAGGCCCAGCAGCCGACTGTGGGGTTCAAACGTGCAGCCTGCTCTGTTCAATGATAACATTTCTGCTGGAGAAATAATGCTTCCTGAGAGTAGCTAATATGTTACAAAATGACCCAAAGCTCAGTGCTGCCAATATGGCGAGGCAGGCTCCTTTTCTTTGACCGGTAACTTCATTCATTATCTCTCCTGAATGGCATTGTGATCTTACAGTAGCCCCATTAACCTACTAGCTTTTCTGCACAGCAAACAAGCTGTTGCACACTTTAGTTTATACAGTGAAATCACTGGGAACAAAGCAGCCATGTTCAGGATGAACACCAATACCATCAAAGGTGTCAGCACATTTTATTATTATTAGTATTTACAACTCAATGTTGTTTTCTCTTGTATCAAGTGAATTATTATAAAGAAGTTTTAAGCTTTGTTGCTTACATGTAGTATTTGCAGTGACATTACTGCAAGCATGGAACATCTAATCACGTCAATCAAGTAAAAACCGGATGTGACGAAAAAGAAACTATTTTTGTATCAAGCCTATAGAAAAATGACTTCGCCTCAAGTAACAATAAGCCTGGTTGCAGCTTTCCATTTATCACCTCCGTCCATGTATGTGTGATATGTCTCCACCTGTTGGTGGGAGAACAACATGGCATGTTTTATGTCAAGAGAATGATTGAAGTATGTTCAACCTGATTTGAACGACTTAAAGGAACAGTATATGTAATACATATTGTATTTATTTCTATGCAGAGTGCAAAGTCGGACCAGTGAAGTGGTGACGATCAGCTTTATATGTGTATAATCTGTTTTTACACATCCTCTACCATGCCACTTTTCTAAGTCATTGGTCCTGTTGTGAAGGTCAATTAGATACTTACATAATTAATAATTCTACTTTATTGGTATTGCTCTCATATGCTTCAATTAAAAGTCTTCGACTTTGTGGCTCATATAATCTATCTGCAGTTGTGTAGACCCTAGATGGAAGAGCTACTATACTATGACTCAACAATATAAGTTAATTTGGTGTTTCTGTTAAAAAGTTAAGAGCTCTGCCATGTGTTCATTAAACATCTGTCTCCATTTGGGCCAAACTAGTGCTACAACTTTAGAACAATGGTCCTACACTGGTCCAACAGCAGACTAATCAGAATAACACTTTATATTTATTCATAATAACAGTTGAGCCTCAGTCAGAACCTTGTTCAACTTTCTTCTTTCCTGTACGAGTCACATCTTAAGTTAGCAAAACACTAACTAATCAATTATTAGCTAGGTAGTTAGACGGCAGGTTAGTTAGCATTTTGGTACAAAGCAAAATGCAAGGTAACTAGCTAGCTAAAAGTAAAGCCAAAATATCTCAGTCACCCCCTGGTGGCTGACTGCAGTATAGGTCATAAAGCCCACGGTCTCCATTTTAGCAGATGGGCCAAACTAAAAGTACTAAAAGTACACGTCAAATACATTTTTCCCACAAAGATGATTTCTGTCATTTTAGGTAGTTCTTGTCGCGCTTATTGTATGTTCAAGTGTTAATTTTTCTGATATATTTGAAGCTATAAAAAGGTGTTTCACATCATGATCGCCAGCTGAGCCCTGGTCACATTTGAGTTAACCAGGCGTGTGGGCAGGACTTTAATACCGCAGTGCCAACCCCGATAACTGCTCAGACTCTGGCTCCAAATGGCAGAATATGGCAGAGGCCGTATCTGGGATATTTTGGCTTCATTTTTGTACAGTGGGAGGAAGTGGACACACTCTGTCCATCTTTTACATGTTGTTGGTCTGGACACATA